GCCTATGCCCCCCCCCCCGCCTCCGTGCCTGGCGGGAGAACGGCCACGCCCCCTGGCGCCCGGCAGGGGGATAGCCACGTTCTATAAGTGGGTGGGAGGATTGCATGGCCTAAAGGACAAGGTGTGTGACTTTGGATCAAAAGATTGAGGGTTTGAGTCTATTTGCAGTTGTATTTACCTATCTTTGTCTGTGCTTCTGGATCCTGCTGGCCTTGGTCTGGAAAGGTTCTCTATAACAATATGGCTTTTCTGTAACCCTGTTGGAAGCCCTGTAACTATTCAGTAGATCTAAAGCAGTGGTCTCCAACCTTCTGTAAGTGGGTGGGTAGAAAAGACCCCATCATGGCTCCAACAAGAAGAAGGAAATTTGAAGCCAGTTTTAAGCTGAAAGTTGTAAAGTTTGCCAAGGAACATAATAACTGTGCTGCTGCAAGTCAATATGGAGTAACAGAAAAGATGGTCCGAGACTGGAAAGCAAATGAAGATGCATTAAAGAGTATGCCAAGTAGTAAGTGTGCATTAAGAAGAAGCACCCCACATTGGTCAGAACTTGAAAAGCACGTAGCAGACATGGTGCATGAGCATCGTCAAAATGGTTATGTAGTGACACGAAACAAAATACGTATGTTTGCACTTCAGTGGGGCAAATCTAACCCAGATCACAGCAAAGGATTTAAGGCCACTGTATCCTGGTGTACTAGGTTCATGGAAAGGCATAATCTGGTACTGAGGCAAAAGACCAAAATTGCACAAAAATTACCTGCAGATCTCGATGGCAAAGTAAGTCTTTTCCATCGATATGTAATACAACAGCGCAAGAAACATGGCTATGCGTTAAGTCAGATCGGAAATATGGATGAAACTCCTATGAATTTTGATATGGTTGGAAATAAAACTGTTAATCCAAAAGGTGCAAAAACAGTGTTAATTAAAACAACAGGACATGAGAAGTCCAGTTTTACAGTGGTACTAGCATGTACAGCTGATGGCGCCAAACTAAGACCAATGATTATTTTTAAAAGAAAAACAATGCCGAAAATCAAGTTCCCTGTTGGAGTTTTTGTGCATGTGAATGAAAAAGGCTGGATGGATGAAGGGGTAAAGCTATGACTTGATAATGTATGGAGTAGGCGACCAGGTGGACTTCGTCAAGAACGTAGCCTACTGGTGTGGGATATGTTCAGGGCTCATTTAACTACCAGCACAAAGAAAAGGCTGGCAAGAATAAACACAGATGCGGCAGTTATTCCTGCAGGATTGACATCATTGGTACAGCCACTGGATGTGTGCCTAAACAAGTCATTTAAAGATCGCATTCGAGAACAGTGGAATGAGTGGATGGTTAGTGGCGAAAAGTCATTCACAAAAGGAGGAAACATGCGTGCGCCACAATTGGATGTTTTGTGTAATTTTGTCATAAAAGCCTGGAATGATATTGGTGCAGAAACAGTAATCAAGTCTTTCAAGAAGTGTGGCATATCAAATTCTTTGGATGGTATGGAGGACGACTTCTTGTGGCAAGATGAAGGGGAAGCCAAAGCTGAAGCCACACCATCCGATTCGGAATTAGATCCATATGATGACTGTCTTACAAATGTACCACAAGATGTCATTGATGAACTTATGATGTCAGAGGATGAACATGATGAGGATTTTGAAGGATTTTAAGTACCTGCAAGTCAAAACCATTTTAATTAAAATGATTTAAATCAAATCTGATGTTATTAAATGGTGTTGCCTCAGAAGGGGGGGTAGTCTTATACGGTGAGTATAGGCCAAAACCTATGTTTTAACTGGAAAATTAGGGGGTCGTCTTATACACCCAGTCGTCTTATACACCGGAAAATACGGTAGATGACGTCCTGAGGCCGTTTCCTGTCCTTCAGTTTTATCCTTGTATCCTCATAGCACGACCATTATCTCTACGGCCTCTGATTTGAATTTATTCAGTGTTAGCCCCTGTTCCCAACGATTAATAATGATGAATCACCACAGTGCCCTTCCTCCAACCTGGGGTGTGGGCATTGCTCACTGCCCTTTCCGGGTGAGCTGGTACAGGAAGATCTGGCAGCGAAGCCAGATCAAACAGTTCACTAGTCAGATGCCAGGGAGTGGGTTCTTCTGCAGTAAATCTCCCCCCTCCCCCCCTGCGGGCTCTGTACCAAAAGCTGCCTCAGTGTCGTTAGGCCTCGTTTACACTGAGGGCAGCAGGCAGGATCCAGAAGAGCCTTTGAGCACATGCTCCTGTTAAGCACATTCAGGTTCCTGAACCAGAGTAGAGAGAGGAGAGTCTGACCCCAGATGCTCCCCACGTCTGACTAGGTCCCCGAGGAACCAACTGGGCCGGACACGCGCCTCGTGCCTCACACCCCTACGTGCTGTCAGGAGCAGACAGGACCTGGGGCTGAGGCTTTGCTTCGCCATTGACTGGGCTATCACATGATCTGCTGGAAGGGACCCTGGCTGGCTACATCACCAGCTCAGCGCCCAGGGTTCCAGCTACAGCCTCTGTCTCCCAGCTTTCCTGCCACCTTATCTCAGCTCTTATCAGCCCCTTGGAACACCCCGGCATGCGAGATGAAAGGACTCTGGAATAAACAAAGAACACGGCTGCCCCTCCCTCCAGCACCCAGCCACCTACCTCAGGCCTCCATGCTCTGCCCCACTCTCTCAGCCAGAGGTTAACCCTCCCAGCTGTGGGGAGGTGGGTCGGTGTTGCTCTCCTGATTTGACAGAGCGGGAAAGGCAGCCATGCAGATTGGCAGACCAGCTCCAGGGGGTGGATGGAGCCAGTCACTGGCCCCGCGGGGCTAGAACAGAGGCACTAGGACCTCCCCCCTGCAGTCAGACCCTTGGGCTGTCGAGTGCCCCTGCATGAGTCATGGAGACACAGCAGCCCGGTGCCTGCAAGGCGATAGAGACAGGCCCAAGCTGGGATCGGGGCCTGGGGGCACCCAGAACTGGATGGTTCAGCTCAGGGCTGAACAGACGGGCTGCTAATAACAGAGGCCTAAGCCGCTGGTGTGAAGCAGCTTTTCTTGGCCTCCCAATATGCAACTTCAATGGTCAGAGCCTTTGCTCTGGTGCTGATTGATGCTCCCTTGAGTGACACCCTGGTGGGTCTGAGGCCCGCATTGAGGGCACGTGCAGACCTCGGTCTGGTGGGTGCAATGGCAACCCCTGGGGCACAGCTGGAGCACAGCCAGCTGGAGTAACCACAGCAGTGAGATCCTGGCAGCACAGGGTGGCTGGGATGGGCAGCAGGACAGCTTCATTTCTATCATGGGCAAAGGGTATAAGAAGCAAGGGAAGGCAATGCCCAGCTGGCCCTGCCCATACGCCATCCTCCCATGGCTCCTGGGGCAGTGAGGCTGGGGTGGGCTCTGCCCATGCTTTGGGGCCGAGGAGGCCGCCCAATGCATCGCCTGCCCTTCCTGAGCTCCCGCAACTGGGGAAGGGTGGGGCCACATGCCGCCTGCCCTCCTTCCCCATGCTCCTGGGAAAGGGCCTGCCTCTCTAGGGTGTGTCTAGACTACAGGGTTTTGTCGACAAAACTAAACCTGCGTCTACGCTACCGCTGAGTCCTGTCGACAGAACATCGACAGAACGCAGCAGTTTTGTCGACGCTGGTAAACCTCTTTTTACGAGGAATAACGCCTTGTGTCGACAGAGTTCTGTGGACCGGAGGCGTTATTGCATCTACGCTGTCCTTTGCGTCTACACTGTCATGTCAACAAAGCAGCTTGCTTTGTCAACAGAACTGAATGTAGTCTAGACGCTCTTTGTCGACAGAAGCTTTGTTGACAGTATCTGTCAACCAAACTTCTGTCGACAAAAGCCTGTAGTCTAGACGTTCCCTTTGTGCAGGGGAGCACTTGGCTCCCAGGGGGGCCTGGGTGTCAGGGCTGGGGGAGGCAAGTTCACCCACCACCCACGTACGCGGTTGTTATCCAAAGGAGCTTTGATCCCGCTGACTCTCCTGAACACCACCCAGCTCCTCCTGCTTGCCCTCCAAGGAGACCAGTCATGGCCCCAGCAGTTGCCATGAGGCTGTCAGGCTGTTCGCTGCCTGGCTCTTACCTTCATCCGGCTGTACACAGCGGAGACAGGCACAAGCTTGTGCTGCCGGTGTGCCCCGATGATGCCACACAGGCCGCAGATCACCTCTTGGTCCTGCTCACAAAAGAGGCTGAGGGGGTTGTGGTGGAAGGGGCAGGACTCCTGGCTGGGGTCCGAGGGGCCAATGTTCTGCAGCACCTGGATGAGGCAGGCCAGCGAGACGTTGGGCGGCGAGGTGCTGCAGTCCACGGCTTGGCGGCACACGGGACACAGCAGCTGCTGGTCCAGGCCGCACGCCAGGGACCCCAGGCAGGCCTTGCAGTAGGAGTGCCCACACTGCAGCATCAGCGGCTCCTTGAACACCTCCAGGCAGATGGGGCAGAGCAGCTGGTCCTCCAGCTCATTGATGCTCATCTTCCGAGCCATCCCGCCACGGTACCCTGTCCTGGCTCAGCCTCTCCGCTGGAGAACATGGAGTTAAGGAGAGCAGCGCCTAGGTACCCCCAGGGGACACCCACCAGCCCCGTGGGACGTTTAACTGAATAACCCCCGAACACACCCCCGAAGCACGTGCCACTGGTATTTGTGAGCCACACTGGCTGCCCATGGGGCGTGAGGAGTTGGTTTAGCCTCTGAAGTGGTGAATGACTTGGGCCCCGCTGCCCTTGGAGACCCTGCTCCGCTGGGCCCCTCCCGGCGTGGTTGCAGCAGCTGCAATCAGCTCAAGTGGGCGCCTGTCCCAGTTACGCAGAATAGGGCTGCTTTTATAAGGGCACCGGTGGAGCTTACTTCCCCCCTTAGCCAGCTGGAGCCCACGTGTTATGAGCAGCTGCAAGGCCAGGCTAAGGCGACTGCCTGGGTTAGAGAGGGGAGTGGAGTGGGGTTTCCCTGGACAGCTGGGGCACTCCCTTGTTGGCCCTGGACTTGTTCCTGTTTCTAGCAGTCTCTGTTCAATGCTTGTCTCAAACCCCATAGCTGCCCATGGGAGCTATCACACTGAATGGGGGAAGAAAGCTAATAAGGAGACAGGACTAGATGGTTGTGCAAGAACCACCCGCAGAAATCTGCCGAGCAAAACACCCCTCATTCACAGCTCCTAAGGCCACAAGAGACCACTGTGACCAGCTGGTCTGACCTCGCAAAGAGCACCAGACCAGAGGCCTGCCCCCAAATCATTGCTAGAGCACAACTGTTAGAAAAACCTCTCTCCTTCATTCACAGGGGTGGAGAATCCATTTCTGAAACAGTTGCAAAATCCAGGTTTGATCTGCCCCCCCCCCCCCCCCAGGATTTCCTGCTAGGTGCTGTGACATTGCAGGGTGTGCACATGCACCCGCTTGCTGGAAAGCCTCTGACAGCTCTGCAGATGCCTGACTTGCATGTGATAACAGTGATTGCCTAGACTGAATGTCCCAAGGTACTTGCTAGGCACTGCTACTACCATCAGGCCCACAAATACCCTCCCCCCGCCCGTTTCCATACATCTATGATTCTCCCGCAACCGGCAACAGGAGCAGCTGGAGGGAAAGAAACTTAACATGTGAGAAAAAGCAGAGACTCGGGTGCATGGAATTCTTATCAGCAATGTCTTGGCCACGAAAAAGGCCAAGAAACCTGTGATAAAGGGGGAATTTTCTGTAATTTTTTAAAAATCTTGTGAGTGCCTCAGTTTCTCCCATATTTTGCATTGCAGAGTTCCAGGGTTAAGTCTGCTCCTGGGGGCAGCACAGGAGACATGAGGTGTCACCTTACTGGCCAAGCCAGACTTCATGGCTCATTAAGGGACTGGCTGAGACTGAGGCTGAGGCTGACCCCTCTTCTCAGATTTTCAATTAAGAGAGTGGGGGAACCTCCATTCACACCTAGCAACCAACGACCATGAGGAAGGGTGGCTCCCCCCACCACCAGCAGGAAAGCTAAGCAGAGGCCGGCTTGGGAATAAGGGACTGACAGATACCAGGCAGGGGATGCAGTACTTTTGGGAGAGGCTGGGCTGCTCTGCCGTGGAAAGGAAGAGGGGACAGGAAGCCTGAAATGAAGCCTGGGCAGCTTGGCTGGTCTGGCCAAGCCAGATGGACAACATCTTAGCTTTGCGCTCTCTGTGCTAACCGAAGGGCTCTGTAACAAGTTGTGACTCACCAGCACGGTGCCTCCCACTGGTCACTCTGGGAACTAGCTCAGCACCGGAGCACTATTCTGGCTGTATATTGTCTGCTGCTACCTGTTGTCCATTCCCCACACTGCAAACTGCAACCTGAATTGTCAAGGGGTGGGGGGAGAACTGCTACCCTGGCTGCCGCCCTGCAGCCCTTGCACCTCCCTGGGCTCCTGTGCCTGGGCTTATTCAGGCCAGAGCTCCCTTGGCTCACCCTGCCTTTCCCCAGCACAGCTCTGTCCATGGTGCCTATGCTGGCAGGCTACCAGGTCCCTCTCAGGCTGGAGCAACAGTCTGTCTGTGGGAGCCCTTTTTATAGGGCATAGCCAAGCCCTGATTGGCTGATTCTAGCCCCCTCTGATTGGCTCCAGGACAGCCCTCTCCCAGGGCTATTTTAACCCCTTTTATGCCTGGAGTGGGGTGACTGACAGCACCTCCTCTAACATGTCATATTCCAGCCAGAACACGGGAACCATTGCTCCATGCAGCCGGCATCTGCTGACCCACCCACTAGCTGCACTTTCACTCCTGAGCAGGCTGAGTGAGAAACACAGCCAGGCTTGCTGCTAACTCCAGCTGGATACTTCCAATATTCCAGGCCTTCCCACGCGGGCGTCAGGCCCAGAGATAGAAGGGAAATGGCTAGAAACACAAGCCACAGATCCATTCTCATCACGCAGAGTCACTTCATGGTGTTCAGTGTCAGCCAATGGCATGCTGATGCTTTAGGAGCATTAGCTCAAGTCTGGGGGAAAGCACTGCAGTGGCTACAATAATGTGTGATGGGCTCTCTTTCTCCCCTGCAGAGTTCTCCAGTGACCCCTTGTGACGTAGTGGGGGTACCTGGCTGGTTTCTATGCTGCTGGCTCTGGGGTAACCCCCACTGGCTGCCGTGGGTACCACGACCCAGCAAAACAGGATGAGTCACTATGCAAACCAGTATGGCCAGATACCCCCCATGGAGAGGAACAAAGGAAGGTGGAATGCTGCCTGGCTGGGGGGCAGGGCTGGAAGAGAGTTAGTTAGTTGCTGGCTGGGAGCATGGAGGAGACAGCCTAGGGAAAGGGGCTGGAGTTTAGGGGCCCAGTCTCCCCCATCTCAAGGGGGCCTGAGGCATCCTAGCCCAGCTCTGTGACCAGATTACATCTGTGTTGTGCTGTATCCTGGAGAGGCAATAAACTTCCTCTATTCCACCGGCTGGTGCAGTCTGTTTGTGCCATTTCGGGGTGCAGGAGACGGGGGACACCCAATGCGCCGTCACACCCCTCCTCATTCCCGTCCTGCTCAACCGCCGTAGGGGGCAGCGAGGGAAGATTGGATACATTAGGTTTCTCTGTTGTGCTCCTGGACATAGGAACTGGGGATTGTGAATCACACATGCTCAGATGCCAGCTGCACTCTACACACGCAACATGGATCACTGAGCGACTTTGAATAGCACCTCTTCTGGGTCTCTCAATGCTTAGAGCACCTAGCACTGAGACTAAAAGCAGCAGGCTCCAGCCCAGCCCAGCCAGCTGGAGACAATATTAGTAAGGAGAAAGCATCTTTAAAAAGGGCTGGCCACTGCCAGGAAATCCCTCTCACTCAGGCCGTGTCTACGCTGGGAAGGTTTGGTGACAAAAGTGCTGTTAACATGAAAAACTGAAAACCCATCAAAATTATTTTTCTACCTCCCACTGTTGACATTTCAAGGCCATATTGCTAGCTCCTCTGTCCACAGCTAAAGCAAAGCATTGTGGGTAAGCACCCCACAGTGCAGTGCTGTGGGAAGGCAGAGCTGATCCCTGCACTCCTTGGGATTCCCTCGGAGTTCTCCCTCAGCCTCCTCAGCTGCTGGGAGCAGCCTCACGAGTGGCTCTGTGAGCTCGCCATGCTGAGGAAAGTCAGAGCAGCGCAGTGTCTGTCCCCCTCCCCCTGCAGCCGCCTGCCTGCCGCTGGGTTCCTGGCAGGGCAGAGCAGGAGCATCCCAATGATTTACTTTTTGTTCGTTCCCCAAGGGAGCAGCTCCCTCAGCTGTCAGACACTTCCCAGAGCTTTGAAAGGGGAAGGGCGCTGGCCTGCAGGACATCAGAAATCACAAAACACTGAGCACAGTCATCAGGGCAGGCATTATGGGATACTGACGGAAGCCAGGTCTCTCAATCTTGGCTGACTTACTGAAGCAGGGAGAAAGGCTTGAGATGAAGCAAGTTCAATACTTTATGGCTTGTCAATTCATAGACTGGAGACGGTTTGCAAAAGAAACTCCTCCTGTTAGACCTTACGGCCCTCAAAGAGCCTCAGAAGCCAGCACTACTCACCGTCCGCTGCTCAGACTATCTTCTGTTCCCTTGCTCACGCCTTCACAGCAGCAGGGCACTCAGCAAAAGATCACACCCTGAGGGATATTATTCGGCCTGTCTTTGACTGACAGAAAAGTTCAGTTGCCTCGGGAGGGCAGAATCCAGCTATTGGAAATGATGGAAACACAGCTTCAACAGCAGCAAAGCAAAAGCGCTGTCACGCTCACTTATCTTTCCCTTTTCTTCAAGTCCTGCTGAGAACGGCTCCTCTTGTCTCCTCAAAGTTGGCCCAAAGTGTACTAAAAGAAGGGACCCACTACAGCCTGCAGACATGGAGCAAATGAGTACAAAACAACAAGTGCCTTGCTATCTTCCCACACCAATCTGTGGTGCTTACCTCATGCCACAAACGCCCCTTGTTCCACTCCCCCAGCTGATACAGAGTTGTGCTGGCTGTAAATCAGGTGTAAACACACACATCATATGACTGAATGGCCAGCCACCGAGAGCTCCACACTTGATAAGAGCCTCAGAGGGTCACTTCAGTCAGGATGTGGCTTCCAAGGAGGTCCCATGTGCAATGGGGTTCTCAACCAGGGGTACTACGGGGGGGACACAGAGGTCTTTCTGGGATACATTAATTCATCTAGATAGTTGCCTAGTTTTACAACAGGCTACATGAAAAGCACTAGCAAAGTCAGTACAGATACAAATTTCCTACAGTGACTTATTTATACTGCTCTGTACCAGTGTTT